GTGCTGTGTTCATATGGAATTAAAATATTTTTTTTTAACTCAGCTTCAAGTACACGACAATGGATAGTTCGAGGGAGACAATATCACACCACGTCTCGTAATAATATATATATATATATATATATATATATTACAGGGAGAAGGTAGTGGTGCAGGCCAACAAAACAAACTTGATAATTGAAGGTCAAGGGTATCTGAATACAATCATAGAATGGAATGACACAGCAAATTCCACCGGCGGGACTTCCTATAGCTACTCCTTTGCCATCTTTGCCACTAAGTTCACTGCTTACAACATCAGCTTTAAGGTAATTAAGCATGCAATTTAATTGGTTTACTTACTTTGATCAATGAGTACGTTTTGCTTGCCTTGGTGAGATTATACTTAACCATAACCCTTATAATATACTTTTTAACGTTTACATTCATTTCTGCTACGGCAAAACACGGTATAATATTTTTTTAAAATAATTAAGAGGATTACTAGTTTAATGTTTAAAGAGTGTACTGTAATTTTTTTTTTAAAATAATTATGTAGGTTAGTATAAGGTTAGAAAAAACAAGAATTATCATATTCTCACAAAACTTCACTGCATTATTTATTGTAAATTTAAACTAAATTTTTTAAAAGAATAATACAAATTATTGACAAATAAAACTTAAACTAAATTTATTAATACAGTAACATAAATTATTGACAAATTTAATTTTCAAAAGTTACCTTCAGTAGAAATATAAATTGATTGACAATCTAAAAAAATGTAACATAACATAGATGGTGTATGTTCATTAAATCCTTACTCATTAGTGCAATTTATATTGTTATTTATTGCCATGTATACGTTGTGACTTGCGAGATCTTCACGTTTTGATTCTGTGAAAAGAACACGGCTCCTCCACCGCCACCAGGAGTGGTTGGGGCACAAGCGGTGGCACTGAGAGTTACCGGTGATCAAGTTGCTTTCTATGGGTGTGGGTTTTATGGTGCGCAGGACACACTCAATGATGACAATGGGAGGCATTATTTTAAAGAATGTTTTATCCAAGGATCCATTGATTTCATATTTGGAAGTGCCAGATCACTTTACGAGGTAAAAACAAAAAACAAAAATGCAACCTTCCCTTTAAAGTAAGTCTTGTCTACCGCAATCCATTACCACATATACAAATTAACACACAAGTATCATGCCTTATTCATGGTTCTAATTTTAGTGGCCCCATCATAATTGAAAGATTAGGTGAAAGTAATAATGCTCATGATGGCGGCTTTAATTAATTAAAGGACAAGTTATATTTTATGAAGGTATATAAATGAGAGAAATTATTTAGTACAACTTAAGCACATGAGCATTAACTAATCTCAAACATTTACATAACATGTAATAAATTATTATTAATTAATTTTTATAGGTTAAAAAACTTAAATATGAGATATGGCTAATAATTTTTCATATAAATGAATATCATTTTATTCGAATGCAAAATTATTGGTGTTTAAGATAATATATACATTTTATGTTTTTTAATATTATCCATAAATTAGTATATTTATTCTAAATTACTTTCATTTAATACTTATTATAGGAGTAGTTGTAAAATAATTCATGATTATTAAATAAGGGTATATGTGAACAAAAATTTAAGAAGACTTGGCATTTTTAAAACATTAATAGTTTTGAAGAAAAAAAAACACAAGGGTTAAAACATCAAAAGATTTGAACAGGAAGAGGAAGGAGTATTTGGCAAAATGATAATGTCATGATGCCATTCTAGTAAGTCTCCATTGTTTTCTTTACAATCTTTTTATATGTAATACCTTTAAAATATAATTTATTCGAAAATTTTGTTAAATATATATATATATTTTTTTTTTGGTAAAGAAATTTTGTTAAATATGTTATAAAAGAGTTAAATATGTCCTTAATTAATTAATATCTATAAAAATACGACGGAATTTTGTTTTTATATTCCTTCTCAATTTTTTTCATTTTTCAATGATTTTAATTTATTTTTTAAATATACTAATTTATTTTGTAGGACTGTACCATAAAGTGTGTGGCCAAAGAAGGGGATGAGATTAGCGGGTCTATCACCGCTCAAGGGAGGGAATCGGAGGATGAGTCAAGTGGGTTTTCCTTTGTGAATTGTAGCATTGTTGGGAGTGGAAGAGTGTGGCTTGGAAGAGCTTGGGGACCCTATGCCACTGTGGTTTTCTCAAGAACATATATGTCTCATGTCGTAGCTCCTGATGGATGGAACGATTGGAATGATCGCTCTAGAGACCGGTCTGTGATCTCTATCTCTTCGATCTCCTTATAATTTTTTATGCTTTTCTATGTTATTCATCACCACCTATCTGGTTTGATTGACACAGCGTTATTAATATTTTTGGTTGAACACATGCAGGAGCGTTTTCTTTGGGGAGTACCGTTGTCTTGGACCTGGAGCAAATTTTACATCCAGAGTCTCTTATGCCAAGCAACTCACGGATTACCAAGCTAACTCCTACATGGATATTTCCTACATTGATGGAAATGATTGGCTTCTTAATTATTTTCAAAACTCTATGTTAATTAACCCTTCATATACCTAATGGAAACAATAAAGCTCAACTGCTTCAATATGTATGTACACATCTTCACAATAATCAAGTCTTTTTTTTTGTTCATGCAGCTGTTCATAGAGTACATTTGAAGTAACTAACAAAAGTTCAAACCAAGTTGTAAAGGGATGATTAACTCACTGTCTATACCTAAGAACTCTCTTATGTAATAATCATAAATTAGTATAAAATAGCTGTTCTGCAAGACACAAGAAAAGTACATTAATTGATAATAATAAGCCTTCATAACAGATCAAATGAAAGACCAAAAGTATACAATATATCAGTTACTTACATGTATGTAAACGGTCAACCACAACCATATATTTTATCATAAAAAATATTGTAGTCTCTTACTTTTCTTAGCACCCAAAAGTTTATTTTATTTTATTTATTATAAGTTATCCATGAGAAAATGACACAAGGAAAAACAAAGATCGCTAAATAATTAATCACCAGCTGTAACAACACATATTTAATATATTAGTTAATGCTTCATAATATCTTCAATTAAGCATGAAATGTTGAAGTGAGATGAACCTTCCTCCACTATGGCCTTTCTTGCCATCTTTCCAAGCTCTATTGCTCTATTCCTCCTTTTTTCGCCCTCTTCACCTCCCGTCATGCACATCTCTATAGCTTCCATGATTCTCCTTTTCTTCACCATTGCACCAACTTTCTCTTCATCACCCCACCTTACTGGAGCCTCAACACCTATTCCAACTCCAATCTTCAAAACTTGCACAATAAATTTTTCATTTAAGAATTGCTCAGCAAATAAAGGCCATGTTATCATTGGCAACCCGGAGCACACACCTTCTATAGTTGAATTCCAGCCGCAGTGGGTCAAGAATCCTCCAACTGCAGGGTGAGACAATATTAAAGTTTGCGGGGCCCATCCCTTTATGACAAGTCCTCTACCTCTTATCCTTTCATCAAAATTTTCATTCTCTAACCAATTATTTAGCTTTGAGAATTTTTGTCCTGCAGTTTTGACCACCCAAATAAATGGTTGATTTGATGCTTCTAAACCCAACCCAAGTTCTATCATTTGAGATGTAACAAGCCTACATAAGCTTCCAAGGCAAACATAAATAACTGATCTTGTTTCCATTGAGGTTAGCCAATCCAAGCATTGCTTCTTTTCAATCGAAGGCTTGTTTCCTCTCTCAAACTTGTCCAAACTATCCTTGTTGGATAAGGACACAGGACCAATGCACCAAACTCTCTTGTTCAAGGCCTTCTCATACTCTTTAGCACACCCTTGCTCCAATTCTTCAAAGCTATTTACCACAACCCCAGAAGCTGACATTTCAGCCTCTAAAATTTTGTGTCTAAAATCATCCAAATCAGGCAGAGGAAAAAAAGCTCCAGGGAGTTGTGCTTTGGTTATCTCAATCCTTTGATGCAATCCTGGTATGAGAAAAGGTTCTGAGTCAGAAGAGCATGAAAGATGAGAATTGTGGAGCTTGATATTATGGGAGCTAAGTAATGAAAAACAAGACATGCCATGAAAGACAAGCCTTGGAATGTTGAACTTCTTGGCTGTTATAGAAGTCCAAGAGAGGCATTTGTCTGATATAATGCAACTTGGTGGAGAAGGATGGTTTTGGAGATATTGTTCCAAAGGTTCATGCATCATGTCAAGGGCAATATAGAAGTTTCTAAGTAGGGTTCTAGATGGTAAAGTATCAAGGTTATCGCAGCCTAATGGAAGTCCCACTTTTTGGCATGGAAATGGGATTTGTAGGAGTTGAATTGGAAGCCCTGCTTTTGCTGCTCTAATGATTGTTTGCTCAAATCTTGAGGCATTGTGAGGGGTACTTACCAATGTGATAATAACCCCTCTCTCTGCCAAAATCCTTGCCATGTCTATCATGGGGATCATGTGGCCTTGAGCCAGAAGTGGAACTAGCACAAAATGAGGTTGCTTAAGTGGCAAAGCCATTACGTAATTAAGTAAAATGTGGCTAATAACATGGGTTTGGTGCATGGTATATAAATAAATCGAGAAGACCAATATTGTTGGCCATGCGTCACACGTATGACGTTTTATTTTTTTTAAGTCGTTGATGATCTCAAACCTTCGAAATTATATTTTATGGTGATAAAATACTAAAACAAACAAAATGAAACTAATGCCCACGATTTGAGATCTATAACTGCACCTCCTATCGTTCAAAGAATTACAAATGCAAAAGTTCATCCACCTTATATTCAATTTCAACTTTTTTTTTTAAGAATAAGAATGTTAAAGATCAATCAAACTTTACATAATTTACTCCTCCAACAGTTTTAATATTTAAAAAATGTTTAAAAATAAATAATATTTTCACTTTTTAATGTAATATTATTTTTTTAATTTTTATATTTATAAATTATTTAATCACCACAATTAAAAATAATTTATTTATTGAGAAGGTGAATTATTTTAGTAAAACTTAGAAAAACAAGTATATTGCCTAGAAAAAATCTAGAACGCCGCCCATTGGCTACTATGATTTTCTAAGGTTTCTTTCAATTTTCAAACGAAGGTTCCTCCGTCCCTCATGTAAACTGCGTAAACACGTGGGTTTTGAAGAGTAATATCAATCAATTGCAAAGAAGAAATGTTGGTTTCTTAGCAAATGCACATTTGAATTTTCGTGACTCAAGCATGCATGTAATCCAATGGCAAAATGATGAAGTTTCTTAGATCGAATGTCTGTCATTTTAAATTTTCTCTTGTAATTTTCGTTTATTTTTATCATTTGTTCATCGTATAAGTGCGAGGATAACATTTAAATTTTAAATTTTAAATCTTTAAGAAATTATTCAAAACAATAATGTATTTATACTGTGTTTGGTAATGGAACGGAACAAAATAGAACAGAACAATACTATATTTATACTGTATTTATAACAACATAATAGAACAAAATGGAATCATGTGTTCTATTTTACATTTAATGTTTGTTGAATAGAACAGAACACCATATTTTATTATATATATATATATCCTTATCCTATTTAATGTTTGGTTAAGTATAAAAAAATTAAACAGAACAAAATAAAATATTTTTTCACATTTGTTATTTTATGACTAATATTATATAATATTCTTATAAAATATTAATATTTATATTTTATAATTATTTTCTAAATATGTAAATATAAAATATTTGAAAAATTTAATTTATAAAATATAATTAACTTAAATATATTGTTATTACTATATAAAAAGAAGATCAAAACACGAAAATGTTCTATTCAATGCCTATATTGAAAAATCAAATTAAAATTAGACAACAAATCCAATAGCCACACAAAACAAATTTATTAAAAAAAACACTAAATTACTTGTTGATTTGATTTGAATGGATCCAACATTCTTTTTATTAACAAACGATAGTAATTCAAATGATCAGTAATTTATATGATGCAAATAGCAAAGCACATAAATTTTAATGATGCAAGTAGCACAACAAAAGAGAAACAAAAAAAACTTTCTTTGTCCTTGTATATAGTGGGAGCAATAAACAATGCAAAGAAAGGGAAAAAGAGCGGTGAACAGTGTCTAGCAAAAAAAGATTGCGACAAGGATTTTATTTCTCAGTTGGGTGTGCGGTGAAAAAGTTATAAAGATAAAGAGTGGTAATTTTGTCATTAAAAAATATTTAATAAAATGTCATGTCCCATTCTAGTTGGTTTCACCTTTTTTTAGGGAACAAAAGTATCCCACTATTTTAATCATATATCCTGTTTTGTTCTCCCTTTTAATTTCATCAAACAGGGAATATAACTCATATGTCCTGTCCTGTCTCATTCAAACATGTATTCCAAACGCTACCAAAATAATATTGTTTGTTTTTAAGATATTGTTTAAAATTAAAATGTTGTACTTATTTTAAGAAGAATCATCCAACTTATTAAGGAGGTCATTGTCCTAAATAAATGATAGAGTCATACAAAGGAGAATTTACTGAATTTTTGCAAAAAATTTGCGAAGGAAGATTTACCAAGTTTTGCCAGAAAACTTATGAAGGTTTACCAAGTTCTCTCAAAAACTTGTGAGAAGAGTTTTACCAAATTTTGTCAAGTAATTTTTATTAATAATTTATTTTAAATATTAATATTTAATTCATAAATAATTATGATAAATAAAAATCGAATTAGATAAGAAATTAAAAGAATATCTACAAATTATTTCATCGAAGAAAAAATCTTAAAAATATACTCACAGAAGATAATAGTTTGTATTTAATATACAAGAATCAATTAAAACTTTAGCTTCGCAATCACATTTATCATTCATTTTTATGTTAATACTGGAAGGAAGCCCTCAAATTAGGTAACATTAGTGTGTGTTGTAAATAAAATATTAATATTTATATTTTATAATTATTTTCTAAATATGTAAATATAAAATATTTGAAAAATTTAATTTATAAAATATAATTAACTTAAATATATTGTTATTACTATATAAAAAGAAGATCAAAACACGAAAATGTTCTATTCAATGCCTATATTGAAAAATCAAATTAAAATTAGACAACAAATCCAATAGCCACACAAAACAAATTTATTAAAAAAAACACTAAATTACTTGTTGATTTGATTTGAATGGATCCAACATTCTTTTTATTAACAAACGATAGTAATTCAAATGATCAGTAATTTATATGATGCAAATAGCAAAGCACATAAATTTTAATGATGCAAGTAGCACAACAAAAGAGAAACAAAAAAAACTTTCTTTGTCCTTGTATATAGTGGGAGCAATAAACAATGCAAAGAAAGGGAAAAAGAGCGGTGAACAGTGTCTAGCAAAAAAAGATTGCGACAAGGATTTTATTTCTCAGTTGGGTGTGCGGTGAAAAAGTTATAAAGATAAAGAGTGGTAATTTTGTCATTAAAAAATATTTAATAAAATGTCATGTCCCATTCTAGTTGGTTTCACCTTTTTTTAGGGAACAAAAGTATCCCACTATTTTAATCATATATCCTGTTTTGTTCTCCCTTTTAATTTCATCAAACAGGGAATATAACTCATATGTCCTGTCCTGTCTCATTCAAACATGTATTCCAAACGCTACCAAAATAATATTGTTTGTTTTTAAGATATTGTTTAAAATTAAAATGTTGTACTTATTTTAAGAAGAATCATCCAACTTATTAAGGAGGTCATTGTCCTAAATAAATGATAGAGTCATACAAAGGAGAATTTACTGAATTTTTGCAAAAAATTTGCGAAGGAAGATTTACCAAGTTTTGCCAGAAAACTTATGAAGGTTTACCAAGTTCTCTCAAAAACTTGTGAGAAGAGTTTTACCAAATTTTGTCAAGTAATTTTTATTAATAATTTATTTTAAATATTAATATTTAATTCATAAATAATTATGATAAATAAAAATCGAATTAGATAAGAAATTAAAAGAATATCTACAAATTATTTCATCGAAGAAAAAATCTTAAAAATATACTCACAGAAGATAATAGTTTGTATTTAATATACAAGAATCAATTAAAACTTTAGCTTCGCAATCACATTTATCATTCATTTTTATGTTAATACTGGAAGGAAGCCCTCAAATTAGGTAACATTAGTGTGTGTTGTAAAACGGTCATTTTGATTGACATACTCAATAGTTTGTCTCATATTGTACCTTAAGGATAATAGGTAATTTCTTTGATCAGATAAGAAATGAAAATATGATAAAACACATTTAATATTCGCATTTAATGCACCAACAAACATCTTATTTACAAGAAAGGACGATAAAACAAGTTTATGAGTGAAGCTTAAGGATATATAACAATCATCTTCATCAAACACATATATAAAGAAGCTTGAAGACTCAAAAACATAAGGGAGAAGAGAACATCCATTGTAAAAATTCATACTTTTTGTGTAAAAGGCTCTGTACTTAACGGTTATTATATCATGTCTTATGAGTAAAATGAAACAACTATTATTACATAATTTTAACTTTGTGTTATGACTTGAAGCCTAAAGAGACTTTACTTTAAAGAATATTTTGTTATTGAAGTTTTAAGAGACTTTGTTATTCAAAGAATATTTGAGTAGTTGCTTGAGGAGATATAAATCAAAGAATTACTTGGATTAAATTAGAAGTGACTTGTGAAAGAATACTTATATCTTTTGTGAAAATAATGAAACTTGATTGGTTTAATCAAGAATAAATGTAGTCTCGATGATTGAGATGTACTAGTATAAAATCATTTTGTTCCCTTTATTCTTATGTCTTTGTATACAGTCTTAAAGTTTAAGATACTATTTCACTATTTCAAAAAAGTGTTGAATTTTTTATTAATGTTATTCAACCTCTTTTTAGTATTTTTCTTTTCTTCACATAAATTTTCTCTTGTAATTTAAATATATTAAAATTTATGAGTAGATTGAAAGTTCAAACTATATATATATATGATTAATTAAAACTTGAATAGATAATTAAAACTTGTTTTCTTTATTTTATTATATAATATAAACATTAAGTTATATCTATTAGATGGAAAGTATCGTATCAAATCATACATTAATTATAAATTTCATGTAATTATTAAAAGAATTTGATGTGATCTTTAAATAAAAAATTTACATATAATTCATAGTTAAATATACATAACTTGAATCATAAATTTTAATCAATTTCTGACAATAATTTTTTTTTGCTTGATATTGCTTTATATATTTTTTAATCTTGTTATTTGATGTTAAATATTTATTGATTTTGTTGGTGGTTAATTAATCTTTTGTCAAGATATTTGATTGACTTATTATAGTGAACAATAAATATTAGATGTATACAATAACATACAAAAAGTTTTATTATAAATATAATAGATGTAGACATAAATCAATTTGATATATATATATATTTACACACAATTTTAGTGTGATTTTGAATAAGATTCAACAATATATTGTGTGTTACTAAGGTTATACCTACACTTATTAATAATATATCAACATATATTATATTTATAATATAGGTAAAAGAAGATCTTAATGACAAGCAATGTGACATTATAGAATGATTGTTACTACATGACAATTTTTTTTTAGTGTGAAGTCTCTTTCAACCACATTTTTTTCATCCTTGAGATTTGAATCCAAAATCTAACTTACAACAACAACTTGCTTATTTACAACCTTTTTGTATAAAAAAATATCTTTTTTTTAAGTGTGTTTCAAATTTTCAAAAATAGCTAGAAGTCAAAATAATCTAAAATTTGATTAAAATTAAAAATTAGCTTATGAGGTTGGCATAGGGATAGGGCCAAAATTTAAGTTTTAAGCACACCAATAAAAAATATATTTTACTAGAAAAATAAGGACAAAGTCTTGAGAGAAAATTAGAGAAAAAATGGGATGCATGTTACAAATTCGCTCAAGTCAAGAGAAATTTTTTGCTTAAACCGTTTTTTCCCTAAAACAATCTCTCTTTTTTCTAAAATTCACTTAAGTTAAAAGAAAAATTATTTAAGTAAAGATCAAAACAAAATACTAATTAATTACAAACACCAAATTGTTGAATCTTGCTTAAAATATTAACTTTAATAATGACAAACTCTTAATTTTAAATTTTAGTATAGAAGAGTTATCATGTGATGTGTTAATAATTCTATTCAAATGTTTTAGAAGTATTTATAATTGATCATAAGGTTGAATAAACCTTAGCAATTTAGAAGGTTCACAAGACATCTTTACATATATATGAATCAATTTGGTTGGATGTACGACCAATTAGCACTAAAGTCTTGTCTGTCTCAAACAACATGATAAGCATCTTGTGTTTTTGTTCAAAGAAGTTCAAGTTAAACATTTTTTTTCATGAGAAATGTGTTGAAGACCTGGCTTAGAAGACCAACACTTTGAGTTATTTATCAAAAACCTTCAGTTAAAGATAAAGTACAATTATGTCAACCCTGCTTAAAATTTAAGCTAGCCTTAACAAATCTATTTTCAAAGGCTATAAAGGAAAGATAATGGACATGTTTTTAAGAAAGCCAGATTAAAGAGAGAAATCAAAATACAAGTTGTCAAGTTATAATCCTTGCTTCATACTCTGATATTTGCTTAATTAGAGATTTCCATTTCAACATTTTTTATCAATCTTGTAATAGGAAAAAAGAAGGGTGAATCTTCCTTAGTGAAAACTCCATTATAGGAGAGGTGTAGGAAGGAAGAAAGGAACCATAATAGGCGTTGTATAATCTCATAGTAGGTTTCTGTGGGATTTTTTTCTCAACAGGTGCTTGAGTGAGAAAATCTCAACAAGTTACTGAGAGTTGGCTACTAACAATAAGTGGTTGTGTAGTAGTGTTTTTGTATCAACAAGTGACTGAGTTGTTCTTGATTAGCAGTTGATTGTGATAGTGAAAATCCTACAAATTTGCATGGGGACTAGATGTAGCCTAGTTGGGGTGAACTAGTGTAAAATTGTGAGCAATCTCTCTTACTTGATCTCTTTACCTATTTTATTTACCTTACTACATTTTGTATTTTATTGTTGCACAATTTGTTTTGAAAATTAGTAAGCTCAAAAAATACTTTTAGAATAATATTATACTTTAAGTTTCAATGCTCATAAGGCCTACCTTTTGAAGAACAAAATTTCATAAAGAGTTGATTTTTAAAGAACAAAACAATTTAGTCTCCTTTCTTGTAGTCTAACATTCACTTCAATTAGTATCAAAGCTTGACTCTCAGGGTTAAGCACACTTAACAATGTAGGAGAAAAGATCTTAAAGAAGTGATGATTGTGCAGCATTCAACTATGTTCATTCTAAAAGGAGCCTCAATAAATAGACCTCCAAGCTTTGATAGAAAAAACTATTTCTACTAGATATAAAATGAAGTTATTCTTGGATCCACAATATGTGAATCTATTGAAAATAGTAGAAAAAGGATCATTTGTACCAAATAAGACACTAGACATAAGAGTCATTGTAGCAAAACCAAAACAAGAAAGGAATGCTAATGAAAAAGCAAGATGCTTGCTGAATCTAAAATCAAAATTATTCTTCCCACTATAGTTGATATTCAATTATTCCCAAAATTACTATTTTTTTATCGAAAATAAATAGATGTATAAAGTACTTCGACCCCACTAATTTTAATAATTTGTTTTGTTTTTCAATTTCATCATGCATCTAAATCGATGTTTTAAAAATTGGATCAGTCATCAAATTTGTTAGGGTACTGCATTAATGGATTAGAGGTTGAATAAATGAGTCACTAGTTGAACTACATGACTCGGTCTTTATTATTTTTTTAAGAAAATATTCATGTCATATATATTTTATGCTTATAAATTTCAATAAAATTTATATCATGTCTAAAAAAAGTCTCTTAAAAAGCTATAATCAATAGAATAATAATAAAACAACTAAATTATAGACTTCTTGAACTGTATAAATTAATATATAATTAAATATATAATTTTAAATTAAAATATGCTATATAAATTATTTAAGTCAATTGTATGATAATAGAGTATGTTAGATTAGTAGTCATTAAAATATTAAATAATTACATTCATCTATGTCTAAGTATTATCTTTAAATAAAACATAATTTAATATTATATATATATATATATGTATATATATATGCTACAAATAATAATAAGAAATCATTTCTCTCGTTAATAAATCATTTACACATACATGGAAATAATCTGTGTTTGAATCTCACTTTTAAAGATATTTTACTTGAATTTTTAAATGTACCTTACTAATCTGACCAAATACTATAGTTCACTAATTTGATCGGAAAACTAGCCATGTCAAACTGGTTGTTAGCATATTTATGGTACATTCAATTTAATGTGAGATTCATATCAGTTGAGTCATGGATTCCACTTTAACCGGTCGATTCGAACCAATTTTGAAAACTATCTAAACGATTTTAGTCTTCATCCTCCAAGATTTTCAAAGAAAATTTTAAAAAAGATTTTCGTGTCCATCCTTAATTAGTATCATTAGTTGATCCCTTAATTGACCCTCAGTGGACTAAAATGATAGCTAAAATACAGGGCAAGCATCATTTGGTACACTCCAGAAAAATCAAGATTACAAAAGATATCAATATATTTTACTGATACGCTGAGCAAATTAGCAACTTCTTAGGAAATAGTATATGATAATCTGTTTTTGATAACCAAAGATAATCGTCAGTCTTTGTTGGAGTACTGTTGCTTGATATCTTGGAGTAGCTGAGTCACATTGACGTGAGAAGATCCTCCCTCTACAGCTCTCTTAGCCATCTCCGCTAGCTCTCTGACCCTTTTTCTTCTCTCTTCTCTTTCATTTCCCTCATCCATTAACTTCTCTATAGCTCTCACAAGATCTTCCTTCTTCACCAAGACCCCACTTTTCTCTTCATCGCCCCAGTTCACAGGACTTTCCACTCCAACTCGCACCCCAACTCTTATTATCTGCACAATGAACCTCTCATTGTAGAATTGATCCCCAAACAATGGCCACGTAAGCATTGGCACGCCAGCACTTATTGCCTCTAAGCTTGAGTTCCAACCACAGTGTGTTAAGAACCCTCCAATTGCAGGGTGTGATAGTATTAGCACCTGAGGAGCCCAACCCCGAACCAAAAGGCCCAAACCCTTGCTCCTCTCCTCAAACCTCGATTCCTTTATCCACTTGTTCAATTCTTCTGTTTGATTTCTCTCCCTGATAACCCAAATGAACGGTATTTTAGATTCTTCTAAGGCCATACCAAGCTCTATCAACTGCAATGGTGTTAAATTGCACATGCTTCCAAGGCACACGTAAATCACTGAATTTGGTTTCTGCATCGCAAGCCACTTCATGCAGTTATGCGCATCATCACTTGGGGTGTTGTTCCCTCTTTGAGCCTTATCCAAGTGGCTCCTGTTTCTGAGTGAAAGAGGGCCAACACACCACACTTTATCATTCTTAACTTTCTTGAAATCACTTGCATATGCTGGCTCCAACTCCTCAAAAGAATTCACGACCACGCCATAAGAAGCCGTTTCAGCTGCGGCCATTTTGCCAACAAACTCGGTCCAGTTTTCATCCGTTGATCCTTTTGGCGTCTGTGCTTTGGTGATCTCAACTTTGTCAGGGATGTCGGGTATCAAAAAGTACTCCGAATCCGTGGCTATGCTCTCAATAAACTTAGAAGTGAACAGTTTTTGCTGCCACGAGAGGCAGAAGCAACTAACTCCGTAGAAAGAGATTCTGGGGATGTTGAATTTGGTGGCGATGTGGGATGTGTAATGGAAACTCACATCAGAGATTATGCAGTTTGGTTTTGGTGTTAACTCTCCAAACACTTTCTCAGCCGGTTCGTGTAGAATGGTGTTTGCGGCAGTGAAGAAACTCCAGGCCATGCTCATTGAAGGAAGCATGTCGAAATTCTCACAACCTTGGGGAAAGCCAGCATCTTGGGATGGAAAGTGGAGTTGAAGCAATCGGAGGTGAAGGCCTGAGTCGGAAGCACGAGCAAAGGTATGTGAGAAACGGGAAGCGTTATGTGGGGTGGTGACTACGGTAACAATCGTGTTATGCTGTGCCAATGTTGTTGCCAGGTCTATCATGGGGAGCATGTGGCCTGGGGACATGAGGGGAAACAGAACGAAGTGAAGCTGAGGTGGTTGGGATGCCATTTGGATTGGTCGAATGACACTTCCCAAATGCACTTGTTTATGACACTTCTCTTTGTTATGAAACTTAAATTAGGAGTTTTGTTTTGTTCGGTATTCCTAGAATAATATTAATGTTGTTAATTATGAGTGGCATTTAAAGATGCAAACGTTGTTTTTCTTTCTGCTATAAATAAGTGTAATATTTCATTTGCAATATGAATGAGAATACAGAGAGTTTATTTGCTCCCAATTTATGCCTTTTGTTCTTAACAAATTGGCATCAGAGCTTGAGTGCGTGAGGTGAGTGTGAGCCGACTTGGTGTACCCAGCCCGAGAGAAGAGTGTCAAAAAGTCTTGTGAGGTGTGTGAGTGGAGCGTATACACTCAAGAGAGATGGCAGGTTTAACTAATGGCATTCCACTACCCAAGTTGACTAAAGATGTCAACTACGACAACTGGAAGGTGCAGATGAAGGCCCTTCTCGGCTCCCAAGATAACTGGGATGTGGTTGAGAATGGGCACGAGGAACCGGTGACTACCGAGGGGTATACAAATGCCCAACTAAATGCATTGAAGGTTGTTCGAGCAAAGGACAAGGCAGCACTGTATTTGCTGTACCGAGCTGTTGACGAGTCGGGTTTTGAGAAGATAGCTAATGCTAAATCTTCAAAAGAGGCATGGGATATACTCGAGAAAGCAAAAAAGGGAGATGAACGCGTGAAGCAAGTTCGGCTTCAAACCCTTAGGGGCGAATTGGAAAACATGAGAATGAAGGAGTCCGAAGGAGTATCCGAGTTCATTACTCGGGTGGAAACTGTGGTGAACAAACTAAACAAGAACGGAGAGAATCTTCTCTCAAGCCGAGTTGTGGAGAAGATCTTAAGGTCATTGACAGATGACTTTGAGAATATAGTGTGTGCAATCGAAGAGTCCAAGGATTTGTCAATGCTCACTGTCGAAGAGCTTACTGGGTCCCTGGAGGCGTATGAGCAGAGAAAGAAATAGGCTCTCCAGGCGAAGGCGACAATAAAGGAGGAGAAGGTGCTCTATGCTCAGAATAATAGAGGTCGAGGAAGAGGCAGAGGCCTAGGTGGTCGAGGAAGAGGAGGACGAGGTGATGAGTATGTCGGCCAACAGGCTCGGCGTGGCCGAGGTCAGGCTCGGGGAGGCCGAGGTCAGACCTGGGGTGGCCGATCAAACACAAATAACAATATTGAATGTTATAACTGTGGAAAGTATGGACATGTTGCCAAGGAGTGTTACTCGATCAAATGCTACAATTGTGAAAATCTGGGTCATATTTCCAAAGATTGTAGGTCCGAGAAGAAAAAGGAGGAACCAACAAACTTTCTTGCCGAGGAAGAAGATGAAGGAGTGTTGCTGGTGACAACCGTTCCAGAAACCGAGATCAAACCGAGCTGTTCTTCCGAGATCAAACCGAGTTGTTCTGATAACTCAATTTGGTACTTGGACACCAGCGCAAGTAACCACATGTGTTGTGACGAGCATTTATTCAAAATACTTTCAAAGGAGGAGCTCGGATCTGTTTCTTTCGGCGATGCTTCGAAAGTAGCCGTCAAAGGCTGAGGAACGATCTGGTATCAACAGAGAAATGGGAAAATCGGAGAGATTAGAGATGTATACTACGTACCTGATCTAAAAAACAACATACTAAGCATGGGACAGTTAATGGAGAAAGGGTACTCGGTTCTGATGAAGGACCGAGAACTACAACTGAAGGATAAACTTGAGCTGAAAATAGTTCAAGATGAATGCATGAAACTTGATTTGGAGGATGAGGCCATGAAGTGGCATCTACGGTTCGGTCATCTTCACTTTGGGGGGTTGACCGAGCTGGTGAAAAAGGAGATGGTGTTTGGACTTCCTAAAATGGAGTTTGAAAAGAAGTTCTGTGAAGAATGTGTGATCGGGAAGCACGCGAGGACTTCTTTCCCAAGGAGTTCTGAGTACCGAGCAAAGGAGCAACTCGGACTGATCCATACCGATTTGTGTGGGCCAATAACTCCAGAATCATTCAGTGGTAAGAAATATTTCGTCTCTTTCATTGATGATTTCTCAAGAAAGACATGGGTTTATTTTTTGAAGGAGAAGTTAGAAGTGTTTGAAACCTTCAAGAAATTCAAAGTAATGGTGGAGAAAGAAACAACTAAATTCATCAAAGCAGTCCGATCTGACAGAGGAGGCGAGTTCACTTCTGTTGAGTTCAACAGATACTGCGAGGAACATGGGATCAAGCGTTTCTTGACTGCCCCATATTCTCCGCAGCAAAATGATGTAGTGGAACGAAAGAATCAAACTATTCTTGATATGGTTTGATCTATGTTGAAAAGGAAGAACATGCCGAAGAAGTTTTGGGCAGAGGCGGTGCAGTGTGCAGTCTATGTGCAAAATAGATGTCCACATGCAAAGCTAGGAGAAAAGACACCTCAGGAGATCTGGAGTGGCTTGAAGCTGAGTGTTTCTCATCTTAGGGTGTTCGGTAGCTTGGCCTATGGGCAAGTACCAAGACAGCACAGGACAAAATTAGAAGATCGGAGCAAGAAATACATATTTATTGGATATGATGAAAAATCCAAAGCATACAAGTTGTTTGATCCTAATAACAAAAAAGTGGTGGTGATCCGAGATGTTCACTTGGAGGAAACAAAGCATTGGTGTTGGAGTAACTCGGCTGAAGTAGAAACTAGCTTAAAGCATACAAGTTGTTTGATCCTGATAACAAAAAAGTGGTGGTGAGCCGAGATGTTCACGTGGAGGAAACAAAGCAATGGTGTTGGAGTAACTCGGCCGAAGTAGAAACTAGCTCGGACATTGTTGTACCTTCAACAACAACTACCACCGAGTTCTCAGATGAAGAATCCGAGCCACAACAGCCCAGGATGAGAAGTCTGCAGGAAATATACGACACTACAAATGAAGTTCATGTTGTATGTCTTCTCGCCGACTCTAAAGACTTGAGTTTTGAGAAAGCTGTCCAAGATGAGAAGTGGAGAACAACTATGGATGAGGAGTTTGGGGCGATTGAGCGTAATAAAACTTGGGAACTGACCAACCTTCCTGAAGGAGCTCGACCCATTGGAGTAAAATGGGTGTACAAAAAGGAGATGAATGCTGAGGGAGAGGTTGAGCATTATAAAGCTCGGCTTGTTGTGAAGGGCTATAGACAAAAGGAAGGAATTGACTTTGATGAAGTTTTTGCTCCTGTCACGAGAATGGAGTCAATCTGACTTCTGATCTCGTTAGCTGCTCAGAGACAATGGCAAATGCTACAGATGGATGTGAAGTCAGCCTTTCTAAATGGAGTGCTGAAGGAGGAGGTGTATGTCGAGCAACCACTCAGGTACATGAAGAGAGGAGATGGAAAAAAGGTGTTGAGATTGAGAAAAGCCCTCTACGGGCTAAAGCAAGCTCCTCGTGCCTGGAATGAAAGAATTGATGGGTATTTCAAGAAAAACGGGTATGAACAATGTCCGTACGAGCATGCCTTGTACATAAAGAAATCAAAAAAAGATATGATGGTAGTTGCTCTCTATGTCGACGACCTCATATTCACTGGAAGCAATGCAAAACTGATTAAGGAGTTTAAGGAGATAATGAAGAAAGAGTTCGAGATGACAGACTTAGGCTTGATGAAATATTTTCTTGGCCTAGAAGTGAAGCAATCGGATGAAGGGATTTTTATATCCCAAGAAAGGTATGCGCTCGAAATCCTACAGAAGTTTAAAATGGAGGATTGCAACCCGGTTTCTACTCCAATGGAACCAGGCACTAAACTCTCAAAATTTGATGGAGGAGAACGAGCTGATTCTGGGAGATATCGAAGCTTAGTCGGAAGTCTCAGATACCTTACAAGCACGAGACCCGACTTAATGTTGAGTGTTGGGATAACGAGCAGATTCATGGAGGATCCAAGCTACACACATTGGAAGGCCTTGAAGAGAATTCTGAGATATGTTCGAGGAAGCCTATCACTTGGTCTTTTCTATTCAAAATCGGATGACTACCAATTAGTGGGTTACTCGGATAGTGATTGGTGTGGAGATGTTGATGATCGAAAGAGTACTTCGGGTTATGTATTCCTACTCGAGAATACGGCTTTTACTTGGCTGTCAAAGAAGCAGCCCATTGTAACTCTGTCGACCTGCGAGTCCGAGTACGTGGCGGCCTCTTGGAGCGTATGTCATGCAGTTTGGCTTTCAAATTTACTGAGGCATATGGGAGTGATCCGAGATGAAGCGGTTGTGATCCAAGTTGATAACAAGTCGGCATCGAGTTGGCAAAGAACCCGGTTAATCACGGAGGGAGCAAGCACATCGACGTCCGATTTCATTTCATCCGAGAACAGATCAGAGAAGGAAAAGTCGAGTTGGAGCATGTCGGAAACCGAGTTCAAGTTGCGGACATATTTACCAAGCCACTACCAACTACACTGCTAGAAAATTGTAAAAAGCTGATTGAAATGAGAGATAGGAAAAATATTTAAGTTTAAGGAGGAGATTTGTTATGAAACTTAAATTAGGAGTTTTGTTTTACTTGGTATTCCAAGAATAATATTAATGTTATTAATTATGAGTGACATTTAAAGATGCAAACGTTGTTTTTCTTTCTGCTATAAATAAGTGTAATATTTCATTTACAATATGAATGAGAATACAGAGAATTTATTTGTTCCCAATTTATGCCTTTTGTTCTTAACACTCTTAAGAACATGTCATGTCATGATATCAATTTCTGTGATGTAAGCGCCTACCTATGCAAGTTTATGAGTCAAGCTGGCAAGTACTGTGATTAGTGGAAGACTTGAAATACACGTCTTTAATTAGTGTCTTCCTACTATGTAGATGAGGATTGCGTGCTTTTCGTTCAAGGATAGGGGAATATATTATTTTGTTCCTTATCCATACAAATACTTTTATTCACTTGCCGAGGATTTTTTATTTATTTATTAAGGAAAATGTTTACCAGCACAGCAGCACTGTTACAGGAAAATGCTTACTACTGTTACAGGAAAATGCTTCCTACTATAAATACAGCACTGTTACAGCACTATATTTATAAATTTTAATTTTTTACGTACATGCTTTTATATTTTGCAGAATATGTTTCATTTTTTTAATGTTTTAAGACACTTGGCAAAAATCTAAAGACAAATATTGATTATATAGTGATCCAATGATTTATTGAAGAGAAAAATTATGCTGACTTTGATATCTCAAAGTCGCTGAATCTTTTTCTACTCGATGAAAGATCAACAACGAGAATCAGTATTTTATTAAATATATAATTTTATATTAAAGATATAATATAAAACTTATTTTTTTCGTTCACTGAATGTTTTTCCACTCGATGAAAGATCAACAACGAGAATCAGTATTTTATTAAATATATAATTTTATATTAAAGATAATATAAAACTTATTTTTTTCGTTCACTTTCTAATGTTATCAGGTGGTTGTTTAAAAAATTTGAGGAAGGACTTGAGTTCAATATTTGCTTAAGACTAAATTTGTAAAAAGTTCATGAATTGTGAACTTAAGTATAAATTTTAATTAATTCTAATTTATCTAGTGTTATTATCACTAAAATACTCTCTACTAATTAATTGAGATTTTTATTTTCAATAATTTTTTATATTCTTATATCAAGTTTCGATATAGGATAATAAAGGAAAAAATATTTTTAATTGAGAATAAAAAAATTGAATGATGTTATGTTAAAATACATTTTATAAATAAAAATAATAATAATAATAATAATTTATATCTATACATCTATATATATTATAAAGGTAATATATATTCATTTATATTTTTTAGTAGACAATTATATCCTTCGTATTTTAAAATTTTTATTTTTATATTTTTTTTGAATAATTTATCCATAATCATTTATTTCATTATTTCTTTTTATTTTATTTTAAAAAAAATTAAGAGACGTGAAATATATTTTTGATAATAATAATAATTACTAAACTAACCTATTTAAAAAATTTAGGAGGAACACAACAATTCAATAAAAAAACTAAAACTAAAAATAAAATTAAAAGAAGTTGTTAAGAAGTCACACTAACCGTGGGGGGGTCATCCTCAACATATAACTCACACTGGTTTGGTACATCAGTGTGAGTCTGATCTGGTGAAGGATTTGGAGCAGCACAACTCCCTTTAGTGCTGACTCGAACACCATCATGAGCAACTGCAGTCTGTTGCTGAGAACGAGCCAAAAGTTCAAATTTCTGTTCAAACTATTTTTGAATATTCTTCCATATCTATCAGCCTTTTATTTGGACGGATGCTTGTGAGCAAAGTTTTCAAGAGTTGAAGAGATGGTTGACTACTTCTCCAGTTTTGGTGTTACCTGACACTGATGAGCATTTTGATGTGTTCTGTGATGCTTCTCACCAGGGGTTAGGTTGTGTGTTGATGCAGGGAGGGAGAGTAATGGCATACACTTCGAGGAAACTTAAGAACCATGAGCAGAATTATCCTACTCATGATTTGGAGCTTGCAGTTGTGGTTTTTGCCTTAAAGTCGTGGAGACACTATCTGTATGGTGCGAGATTCAGTGTATTCAGCGATCACAAGAGTTTGAAATATTTGTTTGATCAGAAGGAGTTGAATATGAGACAGAGGAGGTGGATGGAATTCATAAAGGACTTCGATTTTCAGTTGATGTATCATCCTAGAAAGGCAAATGTGGTAGCAGATGCATTGAGTAGGAAATCCCTTCACATGTCGGCTATGATGATTAGGGAGTTGGAGATGATTGAGCAATTCAGAGATTTGAGATTAGAGGTGGAGGTTGTTCAGGATCACATTAGTTGTGGTATGATCACCATAACTAATGAGTTCTTGAAACAGGTGGGAACTAAATAGTTACAGGACCCAGATTTGTTGAGAATTTTGGGATTGCTTGGTAGTGAGAGGGCAGCTGGTTTTGAGCTTGGTACTGATGGGATTCTGAGATTCAGAGGTCAGATTTGTCTGCCTTGTGATTCAGAGTTGAGGAGAGCTGTTCTAGAGGAGGGACACCTGAGTCGTTTTAGCATACATCCTGGTATGACTAAGATGTATCAAGACATCAAGAAAAATTTATGGTGGCCTGGTATGAAGAAGGAGATAGCAGAGTTTGTAGCCGCTTGTCTGACCTTTCAGAAGGCGAAGATTAAGCATCAGAGGCCCGGAGGGGTTTTACAGTTGATGGAGATTCCTGAGTGGAAGTGGGATAGTGTCACTATGGACTTTGTGGTTGGATTGCCTAGGACAGCTAGGAACAGTGACTCTATCTGTGTGATTGTTGATAGGTTGACAAAGTGTGCGCACTTTCTTCCTGTCAACAAGAGGTGGTCCTTGGAGAGGCTTGCACAGTTGTATATCTGAGAGATAGTACGGTTGCATGGAGTGTCTTCCAGTATTATTTCTGACAGAGATCCAAGGTTTACTTCAAGGTTTTGGCAGACTCTACATCAGGCGTTGGGAACGAGATTGAGGTTGAGTTCCGCCTATCATCCACAGACAGATGGTCAGTCGGAAAGGACAATTCAGTCACTAGAGGATCTTCTGAGAGCTTGTGTGTTGGACCATCTGGGTAGCTGGGAGGAGGTGTTGCCATTGGTAGAGTTTACCTATAATAATAGTTATCATGCGAGTATTGGCATGGCACCTTTTGAGGCTCTATATGGCAGGAGGTGTAGGACTCCATTATGTTGGTATCAGGAGGGTGAGTCAGTAGTGGTTGGTCCAGAGTTAGTTCTTCAGACTACTGAGATGGTGAGACAGATTCAGGAGAGGTTGAGAGCTACTCAGAATCGACAAAAGTCTTATGCTGATAAGAGGAGGAGACCTCTAGAGTTTGAGGAGGGAGAGCATGTGTTTCTCAGGGTGACACCCACTACTGGAGTGGGAAGGGCTGTAAGGGCCAAGAAACTCACACCGAAGTTCATTGGTCCTTATCAGATCCTTCGTCGTGTAGGTCCAGTAGCTTATCAGTTGGCGTTACCTCCGATTCTGTCCAACCTGCATGATGTGTTTCACGTTTCACAGTTGAGGAAGTACATCAGAGACCCGAGTCACGTGATAGAGATGGATGAGGTGCAAGTTAGAGAAAACTTGACTTACGAGAAGAGACCGGTAGCTGTAATTGATCACAAGTTGAAAGAGCTTCGAGGCAAGTCTATTAGCTTAGTGAAGATTCTTTGGGATGCAGCTACTAGTGAGGCAACCTGGGAAGAAGAGAGTCGGTTCAAGGAACAGTATCCATTCCTCTTTTCAGGTAAGCCTATTTTCGGGGACGAAAATTCTTATTTGTTGGGGAGTATTGTAACATTGTAAAAAAAAAAAAAAAAA